ACTCAACAACGCCTGGACCAATTTTGCTAATTCTTTTTTTGTTGTGTTTGTTATTGTCAGGAGAAGGTTCTTATTAAAAATAAATATTAGAAAAGTAGAGGGGAAGATTAGGAAAAAGTGACCTTTTGATAGCGAGAGGACCCGTGCGAAGCGGGGGCGGGCCGCTAGTCATAATTAAAACCAAATATAATTTTCCTAAAAGATATCGCCTTACTTGTGACAAAGCTTCTGACTTAGACACGGGCAAAGCTGCGTGCGAAAACAAAATGAAATCAATAAAAATGACATTGATTTGTTTCTCGGTTCATGGGCAATGTTTTGACATTCTATAAAGTTCAGTGTTACTAGAATTTTAATTTGAGTTTGGAATCTATTTGTTTTGTTCATTGTTCTTGTTTGTTTTAATTGATGATCTGATTTAGATTTAGGTATTTTTTATAGGTATTTATAACGTATTTAAATGTGTTATGTCGTGGTGGCCCGGAGGTTAAGCGGCCCGCTTCTCATGCATGAGGGTGATGAGGGTGTGGGTTCGAAACCTGGCAAGTACCAATGTGACTTTTTCCGAGTTATATGTACTTTCTATGATTATTTAGACACCACTGACATACGGTGAAGGTAAACATCGTAAGGAAACTTGGACTTATAATTTCTAATTATAAGTCTGAGTCCATTTTAGTAATTAACGAAGTATTATAACATGATATGTAGTTGGTTATCCGAAAATATTGTTTTTTTAAACTATGGTTTTTTCATTTGCCGACTAAAAAGAAACTTTATTAAGCAAAATATAAAAATTTTATTCGTAAATTCGCCAAAATACAAGCATACTTTCAAGGAGGTCTGAATGGACGGAAAGCAACAATTTGTCAGTCTCGGTACAGGTGAACGGAAAGATGGTAATTGTTCCGTTGTACACATGAAGGATGTGTTCGTTTATTTGCTTTTAGTGTTAGTTTACAATATAAAATTACATGTCTTATACAAAATTAAGCTTTACACCATTATATTTTTTTATGTGAGAACTGCAAACGAGTTTACCGATTACCCGATGGTAGGGAATCAGCGCCGCCCATGGACACTCGCAACAGGAGTAACGAGTGCCTTGCTGACCTTTTTGGGTTAAGGGATTTGGAGGTGATTGGGGGGCGAAGGGAGGATTGGACCTCCGGTAACCTCACTCACACGGTGAAACACAACACTGTGGTTGTTTCACGCCGGTTTTCTGTGAGGCCTTGGTATCACTCCAGTCGAGCCGACTTATTCGTGCCGAAAAGTGGCTCTCCCACTCTTCATTTTTTTTTCAATTCTCCACGCAACAACACAACGCTATTCATTTCTTTCCCAAAGAAATCTAACTACCAACAAAAACCTACTAATATTATAAATGTTAAGGTTTGTTAGGATGGGTGTATGTTTGTTAAACTTTTACCCACAAACGCCTGGACCGATTTGGTATGTAGACGGGTCCTGTATTAACGCCGTTTTTCTGTGAGGCCGTGGTATCACTCCGGTCTAGCCGAATCATTCGTGCCGAAAGTTGGCTCTCCCACACTTTGTCTATACTCTATACTAATATTTATAAAGAGCTAAATTGTATGTAGGGGGTAATCTTTGGAACCGCTGGTCGGATTGCCATAATTCTTTCACTGATAGATAGCTACAATGTTTCAGAGTGCTATATATAGACTATAAAACATCACCGCGCGAGAGAAGCTGGTATCTTATATACCTTATTCAAATTCGAATTCCTCTTCCCATGATACGCAGCTACGCTTCTCTGATTAAATAAACACATTTGTGTAACGTTCTAATATCAAACACAATCACAACGCCTACTTACAATCATCACACATTTTCGCAATAACGTGATTGATTGCTCTCAAATTATCGGCAGGCGCTAATGTATTGCATATTACATATCGCTGATAATTTACGTAAAGTGGATGCATCAATCAGATAATACTCTTCCATTTCAATTTGTATCGATATTACGAGATTTATTGATTGTTAATATATGTATATATACTATACATCAAGATATTTGAACCTGTAAAAACTGAGCCTTAAATATACGGAAAGATCATACAAAATGGGACCATTTTAAAATGGTTTTTTTACGTGTGTACTGTACTGTAGTAATAGGTTCTTGTGTAGTTTTCTAGGTCAAAATTAAATTTATTCGACGTTTCATTACAATAAAATATTGAAAAATAACTATACTTTTATTCATCGATCGATACACTAAATTTTAGATATTTTTTAGCAAATTTTTAAGAAATAAGTAAACTATTTGACGCAAAAACCTATGATGACGAAAGAACTAGGACATAGAAAAGTATTGTTTTTGACATTTGGATAAAAGTATTGAATTTGTTTAGTTGGAAACTACCGTATTGGCGGGTGCATCGCTCGCTCATGGCTTTGTTGCGACATAAGATGGTATTCTATTTACAATAGATTGAAATCGTAATTCGAATTCCACGTTTTCTGTCTCAACACAGTTAATGCAAAAAAACATGTTAGCCTAGTTATTATTTGGGTCCGGGTTGAAAAAAGTATTAGTGTAGTTTTTAGTCCCATAAATATATTTACATCTAGTTTCTTTAAGCTATCTTTCTGGATATTTAGGTATTAGTAAATAAGATTATGCCTTAACATAATATACATATTAATAATATTTCTATTATTTGTTCACAGAACAGCGCGCCAATGTGGGAGGAGTTTATATCGAAGGCAACGAAACTTCACTCCGCATTGAAGTAAGTATCCCAATCCATAGTATAAACTAGTACCTACATACATACTGTAGGACTTACCTATTTAGAGAGTGTGAAATCAGTAACTAATATAAAGATACCTTGTATCGTGCTGGATAAAGGCCTAAGGCCCATGTTGTTTATCTAGTATTCACTTTTTAATGATGGTTAAATCATCAACTAATGGAAAAAAACATACAAAGGTCTGAGTTCCATAAAGACGCACTCTGTATCGTGCTGGAGAAAGTCTAGGGCTCATGTTATTCTACTAATATTATAAATGCGAAAGTTACTTTTTAATGTTTGTTACTCAATCACGCCAAAACGTCTGGACGGATCTGGATGAATTTTGGCACAGGCACAGCATAAACTCCGGAATAGGACACAGGCTTCTTTGTATTAACATACCACGCGGCCGAAGCCGCAGATGGAAGCTAGTTTAAAATACTTACATCAACTGATCAAGTTCACCACAGAATATAATAAACCTCGGTGCAATGTAACCCGACAGCTCAGGTCATTCCACAATTGTTAGGCTATTCACGGCCAAATTGGACGACTATGTACATAAACGGATGATAAAAACGTCATTGTTATGTCTCGTCGTTTTATATCTGTATGCACTTATGTTTAGATTATTTTACGTTATCGTTTAGTTTTTGAGAAATTTCGTCTACTGTTTGGTCTAAGTCCTTTTTGCTTTAAGCTAGTAGTTCAATAAACATATGATGCTCACCGAAGAATACGGTTTTACGAAAATCATATGGATACGTCACGGATACAGAATCGTGCCCGTACATTGCAATACGCCCTATTACATGGGTCTTATAAAAAACCTGGGTGTTTTCAAGGCCCGATTAAATAGGTCGCTTATTACTAGGCGTGCTTGTCTTCGCTTTCAACAAGGTCTTGTATGAGGCCAAATGTTGGACAAGTGTGTGAGAGTCAAACTTCCTTACAGAAAACCGGCGTGAAGCGATACTTACGTTGTGCGTCGTCGTGTCAGTAAGGTTAAGAGGCACAATCCTCCCTCACCTTCATCCTAAATACTTAAACCCCTATCCGTAAATCCATAAAAAAAACGAAAGGCCGGCAATGCACTCGTAGTTACTTTGGTAGAATATACGGTGGTTCCAAACTACGTTCATAAGAATCATGGAAAAAACATTCTGGCAGTTATTTTTTTCGGTCCTGAGAAGAAAACCTAGAATCCATTGCTCGACAGTCATCCTCCTACCACTTCACCAACGACTCGTGTACGCAATTGTAATAATATACAAGTTCAAATAAATCTTCCTATTTGGCAGGTCGGCTCTGGTCGCTATAGCAGCGTTTCTGGATGCATTCCAGAAGATTGCAGACGCAGCCACAAATGCGAGGGGTAAGTCCAATAAATTATTGTTTATATTATTGTCATAGAAATATCTCAATTTGGGAACAATAGTTAATTTTGTTCGTGCTCCATGTCACTTGTTTTTTTTTAACTTTAAAACCACTTTTGAGGACATCGCTGTTGGTAGGCAAAGTTTTAATAGCAATCAATGTCTCCTCTTTAGTTCTATTTTATGAACATAATGTTTAGTAATTTCCTAATCTATACTCGTAAAAATGAATAAAAATGTGTAAGCGCATACCTTAATAACTCCTGGAGCAATATTGCCATTTTTGTGATTGTCATTGTGAAGAGAATGTTCTTATCAAAGAAAATATTAGAGAAGTACCTAGAAGGGAAAATTGGCAAAAAGTCACCCTTGCGTTATTAGTGAGATAGTTAGATGGCCAGGCGAAGCGGCGGCGAGCCGCTTGTTATTAATAAATACAATTTTATTAAGGAACATATCCATATGCACCAATTAAAGGAATTAAGCCTAATAAAAAAGTTCAGTGAAAAATTGTCACAAATCATTTAATTTTTTTATAATCTCATTGACGATGTTTTACTTACAAACTACAGATCTGGACCAGACAAAGCCTTGAGATCTTAACATCACGCATGTTGTAATACCGACAGAGCAGGATAAGGATTGATAGATCAATCTAGCCTAAATTGTATTTAAATGTCTAGAATACATTGTTGATGAATATAACTAAAAATCAATCTATCAATCCTCAACCCTTAAACAACTACAAGCTTAATTTATTAGACTTAAAATATTAATATTTTTGTAATAATAATTATAATTAATGTAGCAATATTAAACCTAATTATTATGATTAAAGTAAATTTGACTTTAACGAACAGTACATTGGATCATGTCAATCATTTCATATTAATCGTTTGGTATTTTTTTTTATAAATTAATTGCTCATCCGATTACTAAGATGTGTCATGGGAGAAGTCTTTAGTTCAACGATCATAGATGTCGTTAGTAGCGACCTAATTCGATTGGACGAAACATACATTGAACTTAACACTTAAAAAATTACGGGTTCCTCTGTGTCAACCAAAGGTCCACTTGTACTTCAAAAGATCAGGTCGCAGGTTTTTAACTGACCGATCAAATTAGGCCATTTGAATTGGGAACTCAATCTAAGGGACAATTGTGCTTCTAATCCAATCGAGGTATTCGTAAACTTTACTGTAGACGCCAGGAACTCCGTCCATACCGCAAGGCACTGGTCCAAAACTGACGACTCCTGTCACTTCGTACGTGCGGCCATTTTCGTACATTAGTGGGCCTCCGGAGTCACCCTTGCAGGAGTCCTTGCCTGGTTGGCCGCCGGCACAAAGCTGAGCGTTCCATAGAGTGACACTGCGGCCTGGTTGCGAGTATACTGGTTGACATTCCTGTGGAATTGTTAAGAGTTAGTATAGGCAGAAGGGAGAGATGAGACTAGGCACACGTGCGCAAATATATGCGCGAATACTTGGAGTTGGACAAAGAATTTATTGGTTTTAGTTAATTCTCAGTGTTGAACAGTTCCGAAAAATATGCCAATAACCTCAGTAGCCTTTTGTTATTTGCTCTGGATTTAATTCATCAAGAAATACAAGGTGTATTGTAATTTTATATTTTTTTCTGTTTACGTTGTTATTTGTGTAAATCCTTCATCATATATAATGTAGACAGAACAACTTACCTCCGGTGTAACGAAAGGCAGATCTACGTGGAGCTTAACAGCACTATAGGACTGTCTTGTACTAACTGCTCCCCAACCAGCAGCGAACAGTGTGAAGTTGATAGGGCGGTTCTGAGGCAATGTCATGTCCTTAGTCGGGAGACAGATCGGCCGGATAAAATCTGAAAAATCATTAGAATTGTATCAGAAAAATGAAGTTAGAGTAAGAAGAAAAGGTTGGGGTGTTGAAGATGGTGATAAATAAATTTTAGATGAAACATTATAAGGGTTTAGTAGAGTTGAAATAGTAGATGAGAGATGCGATCATATCCATGTATGGCATTAGACATCAATTACCATGCAGATCAGGGCTGATTAATATTGTTTAAAGAGAACATTCTCCTAGAATGGTTCTGGTCAGTTTTAAATATTTTGAGCTAAAATTACAAAGACAATGAGAAAAGATTTTTACCGGTAAACGGCGCTGTCTGTGCCAGTCTGATCAGAGCGATATCATTCCTCTTCAAAGCACTAGCAGGGTTGTACTGAGGGTGAGGAATGGTCTTCTCAATATCAACTTTAATTACTCCATCTGTGCAGTCTTCGCCACCAGCCTCTACAGGCGCGCAGTCCTTGCCGTCATGAGCTATGTCATATTCTCCTAAACGTACTCGTCGTCTGAAAGTCATTAGAAAATTCTGATAAGTTTTCATTCTACTTATATTATAAATGATAAAGTGGATGAATGGGAATTTCTTTTCAGTAATGTAAAAACTGTCTTCTTTAATTTAGATTTGTACATTCTGAGTTATAGATCGTTCATAGTAAAACAAAGATGTGTAGCTGAATCTAGTCATGACTGCTGAATCATAATATCCCAATTAAAAAAGAAAAAATTGAGCCGTCTCTATATGTTAGTCGTTCGGTCTAGAATATTTTACTCATTCCTAGATCCCATATCATCCTTTTGCAAAAAAAGACGAAAGAAATAAAATTACTTACGGCGTGCCGATGTTTAGAACTTGACCAGCGACACAGTGTCCAGCAGTCAACACATAACGTCCACTGATGAGAGCTCCACCACAGAGTAGTTTAGTCACGCCCTGCTTCACGTACTCGATTATCACCAGCCATGGGTACTGGTCAACTGTTGTAGCGTTACCACCTGGAACATTAATGGTTTTAAGCTTAAAATTTTGTCATGATTGTCTCATTGAAACATGTGTAAAGTTACGGTAGAATACATATATGATAAGACTGAGGTGCTTACGATATCCACCTCAATGCCATGCTAGTAAAGACCTATGTCCAATACGCAGTAGAAAGATACTGGTTGTGATGGTGATAGCGGCTTTTTTTTGAGGGAACAAGTTCATCAATTGACTTATCTCAGACAGGGTGATGCGAGAGGGAGTGTCAGACTCTTACTGATTAAAAACACACCTTTCCTTCTTCTGCTCTAAGACGAGGCTGCCGTACATTATGGCGCTTGACCCGCAACCCCGGCTAAATAGTGATAAGGGTTAGACTGGTGTTTTATATTCGATTATGGAACTGTTCCACCAGTGACATAATCAGAGCATGATACTTAGATACTTGATACGTTTCCCATGATTGATTATAAGCAGACATTTAAAGAAGGCCACTTCTCCATCAGTCAGCCACTAATCAGATTTGCAAATCCAGAACACATTTCTATCTAAAAATATACTGACCAACAATTTTATTTCCAACTCTGCTATCGACACCGCAACATTCACTCTTTGGATCTGGAGGGAATGCGGTCATCTGGGCCGCACAGCTACCGGTAGGTATCGGTGTAGGGTCTTTTTTCGGAGGCGGACCACAGCAGACGCTGTACTGTTCGGGACCATCGCACCTGAAGAATGAAGTTCATTTTTTAAACGTTATGTTTGAACTAGTTTGAAGGGTCTTGTTTGTTCCATATTTTAAAGAAGGTAGGAAGGTCTTTATAATTGGATATATTCAGAGGCCTTTTTTGCTGTGAATTTTGTATTTAGAAACCCAAGATTTCACTTGCAGTCAAACCTTAGATTTCGGTCAATGAAATACAAAGAATAAGAAGTCACGTTTAGTTAAATGACTTGATTCAAATCCTTTGATTAATGATAAACAAAAGCATACTAGACATAAAATTAAAACACATTTTCCTCAATTGAAAAACTGGTTTCATGAGGCTACCAACTAACAAAACAGATGACCAGGATAATAGATTAACCTAAGTAGAAGCAAAAGTTGCGTGGGATTAATATCCCACGCAACTGACTGTAATCAGTCAACTTGACAATTTACAATGATACCAACTTTTCGCTACTCCCATTCCGCAACAGGGAATTCCGTCTTCAAAAACTCAATAATACTTTGACAGAGATGTTATGATACTAAAGTAACGTCACAGGGGAATCCTATCCGAGACCTCGATGACGTCATAGCGGCCATTAGCGTAGACGGTGAACGAAGATATATATATGTATAAAGAAACAGTAACGCAACTTGTTATGCTACAGTAGGAATGTCAAGGACTTTTTAAGGCTATGTTTGAAGATGGTACGATTCGATCTGTGCGATACGTGCGAAATACGTAAGGCTGTTTTGCAAAAAATGTGACTTGATTTTTTTGAGAAGTTTGAGTTACGTAGTTGTGTTAAAAACAACAATGTTAAACTGATTGCCTTAATAGTCTCATTGGGCTTCGACACTGACAAGTAATCGGCTTATGAAACAAAAGATTTTGATCGTATTATTATAAGTTCTACGAGTGTTAAGCACTGGTTTTGTGGTCCTTCACTATAATAGAAAGGTTCTTGAAAATCAATGTGAAAATAGATACTTATTCACCCAACTTGCTGATATTATAAATCCGAATGTTTGCAATCGTTAGAGGTTATCACAAAGTAATTCGCGCAAAAATAATAATCGGCGTGGTAATGATATAAATTTTTACCTTGATTTCTGCACATAGGCAATACTCTCACTCGGCACTGGTGGTTTGAGTAAGTTCGCTAGATGTGCGCACGAGTACAAGCTGATACATTGCCCCACCGCACCTTCAGGGGTGTAGCAGTTACCAGATGGCTTCGGAGGGTTGTTCGGACAGCACACCTGGAAATTAGAAATATTCTTTTAAGTTCTCTCGGGCTAGGAAGAGCAGGTTTCTTCATTTGTAATTACAAATGAAGAAACTACGCGTCCTTGTACTTGCCTAGCGAATTAGAGCGATCTTTCATTGGCCATTGTGGGTATTATGGTAAAACCTATTGCCGATACATTTATACACTTTTCAAATTTTTGTTTTATATCTGAGGATATTTTAAAAAAAACAATATAAACTGTTATAACATTACCCAACCTAGCGGGAATTAGCGAGCAACCCCTTGTTCGTTTTATTTTTTATTATCCATTAAAAGCTTTTAGTCCAAACTAAAGTCCTCAAACAGTAATATGAAAACAAACAAAACTAAAGACGTTCACAAAAACCCTTAAAGACCCTCAAAGTGATTTTTATTTGAGGAAACCTTTGAATGGGAAATCAAAGAGGGATGTACAAAAAAGTGTAATCGTCGGCGCTTAATTCATTGTGGCTTGGTCCTTTGGGAGATGGGGCGGTTTGCAGACAACCAAATTGATTGATGTCTTTACGTATAATGAGATGATAGACCTGTCAAATTCAGTCCTATAATTCTCTTGCAGATGTTAGTAGGCGTTAAGAAACGATTTTGTTCTTTATACGAGACTAAGAAAGCTTGTTCATAATAATATACTAGCTGTCGCTAAAGCCTTTGACAAAGCACATAAAACTTTAAAAAGAAAATCTACCGCCAACGTCTGTAACCAATCAAAATCTTTTATTTATGTGTATTGTAGTTTGTCTTAAGTATTTATTAGTGATTCTTTTATACCCAATACTTTCGATGTAAACCACAATAATGAATCCGTTGTCAATAGTGACTTATACGTCACTAATCACGTTGAGTCGCCATATTTATTTTTCCCGCGGTTTTTGTGGTTTCAATTCATTTCTAGTGTTTATTTTCATTATTCTTGCCCTAGTTAGCCGGGATTTTTAATTAACTGCATTGTTGGAATATCTTCTTATGAAGTAAAACAAATACTTACAGCTGGTGCAGTACCAATGTAACCGCATTGTGACTTCTGCAGCAGTTCGATGTCCTGACTCGTTCTATCCTTCTTGTTAATCAGGGCCAACAGAACTGGACAGTTGTACACCGAAACACACTGGCCACTGCCTCCGCTAGGCGTCCGACAGGAAGATTCTGGAATTAAATAAATATTTGATCAAAAACATTCTCTAAAACGGACGAAACAAGGTCCAGAACTCACATAATGATATATACAAACGTATAAAACTTTACAACGCAATAAAAAACGTTATTAAAAAAAACACGTAATCCTAATGAGGGTTTTGCAAAATCTTTTGACTGGTGATTTGAAATTAAAATCTCAACCACTGTAAATCGAACATAATAAAAAAAGTGAAGCACACAATAATACAACATATATCTCCTTTGCAATTTTATTTGCAAACGCTTTAGCTAAAACAAGGAAATCGACCAATGTGTTTCCAATGTTCTGAGATAGTGAGATTGGTTCAAAATGTTTCTCATCTCCCTCATTGCTATTAACAAGGTGAAAAGTCATTTAATTTTAGTTTGTTAAGGATGTTCAGTAATATTAAATTTTAAACACAAAAATAGGTTTTTTGTCTGAAGGGTTGTAAATTACAATTATCAGTTTCACTTTTACAGATAATTGAAGTAGTTTTACCTTTTACATTTTCGTTTTCAAAGTCAACCCCTGTTGGAGTAATTAAATAAAACGTGATTTGAGACCAACTCAGAAAACTGTTCAGGACAATGAAAATAGCTGTAACATGTTCGTTTTTGCAAAATCTTTTGTGTTATCATAAAGTAACGTCTACCATTCTCTACTTCTCTGAATGTTTCTGCACAGAATGTAATCAATCTTGCGCTTCCTTCGACTGTTGGCCGAATACTGTCTACTGCGTTGGTAGGGATCGCGTTTAAAGTAGTGATAATTTACAATTGCAACAACGTACACTTTCCCGAAGAGTCTATGAATGACAATTGATAGTTGAATAGCTACTCTTAAAAAGAATTGTAATGGCTAATATTACCTTGTAACTCATTGTCATAAACGTCGTCGGCTGTTGGAGCAACCAAATAAAGATGTGATATGAGACTAACCCAGAAAAAAGTGGATAAAACAATGACGTATATCGATAGTAAATTAGCTTAGTTATACGTTATTCTCTGCGAAAATTTCTGAGTTTACTACTTGTAAATACTACTGGAACAAGTCACTAGACTAAACTTAAACGTACTTTTGTCGTAAAATTAATGTAGTTACTTTCTCTATTAAAAAAGGACTCTAATGGCGCATATTACCTTCTCGATCATCATCTTCATCGTCAAACTCTGTCGGAGTAATAAAATAAAAAGGTAGTATGAGACTTATCAAAAGAACGTTCATTAAGTGACATGAATGTATTCTACAAAAAAAAAAAAAAAACAATTTTTACTTGTTTGTTGTGGTCAGTCAAAAAAGAATACGTCGAGCAACCCTATAAAACATTACACTGGGTAGCAGTGTAATGTTAATATTTTATAGCAATTGGAAAGACGTTCATAGAGAAAATTGTTAAAAAATAGTGTATAATACTGTTAAAAGATTTCACATGACTAAATTACGATGTACCCTTACCTGAAGCGTCTGTAAAAGACAGTTTGAAGCAAAAATTCCAAAATTAATCAAGGCAACAAAAATTATCCTTATTAAATAGGAAGGTTTCAATAGTCACTGTTGCACCATGAACAATGACTTTTATTGGGATAATAAAATAAAGATTTAATCTAAGGTTAAAGATTAAAAAAGAACTTGCATTAAGTTAATAAAAAAATATCTTCATATATATATCATATTATCAATAGCATCTTAACACGATGATAGTGCCCGCTATAGCCGACACGGAACCACATAGGGTCAGCTCTTTTTCGCCAAAATTAGTGCATTTAAAATAATTTACGGCTTTCTCCAGCTCTTAGAATATTTCTACAAAACACACATAGAGCTGATGGTCGAGAGAAAGGACAAAAAGATAATAAAATAGCAACAAAACGAAATATAATCACAGGCAATTATATCTACTCCTGTGATTATATTTCGTTTGTATATGTATTACATTATATTTCTTTGTATCGTATTATATTTCGTTTGTAATTTGTGTGTATATGTCGCTTTGAAAATGTAAACGTAGGTCTGTCTGACATCTACGATGATGATATTAGTCAAGTATTTTTACAAAACACACAATATTATAACGTGTTAGTCATTGTTGTTAAAAGTTAACGTATGCAGTCATTCTAAATCAATATTTAGAATGAGGAGGAAGTATGAAATGCTGATTTGTACGTGAAAACATGTACTGATTTAACGATTATCTTTAACATATAATGTGCTGGAAAAGTATAAAATTTTAGCGAAATTAATATTTGAAAAAGTTTTTTTGAAAATACTTAAATTCTGAATCTTAAATGGTCACAAAACATTTTGTAATTATCGTATTAGATTTAGTAGGTACTGTTTACGAACGCTTTAGACTGGTCAAAGAAAAAGTAAAAGTAAAAATCAAAAGATCAAAACTATGAAAATGGTTGTGAATAGGTAAGTCAGTCACTATGGATAATTTGATTGCGGCCGTAAATCAGTATTTTTTTTTAACTTACCAGTACTGGTAATAATTTCGTCGGTATCTGCATTGTCTAAAGTTACGAAAGATTATAATAATTCGTTATTACAAAGAAAAATACCACTTCTTCTACGTCTATGTAAAAGACTGTATACGAAAACGTCAGAAAATTTCTTGTTCATAAGGGGCCCGGTATTGACTAGGGTTAGAACATTAAATAAAACTTACCACCACTGTTACCAATTTCGTTGACATCCGAGTTGTCTATAGTTACAAAAAAAAAAAAAAAATAATAACTAGTTGCTAATCCGAAGAATTACTATCTCCATCTTCATATCAAGTACCATAAACTTACATTTGGTCGACCAACGAGAAAAAGAGTTTTGATATTTATGTTATGTAGTGTTTTCTAAGATCCCGATACGGATTTGGGAAAGACAATGATAGGGTAAGTTTTGAAAATAGGCAATAGGCCATCAGGAGCTGCAGCGGTTCGCTAAGAAAAAAAATACTGACACCGAGGTAGTTGGACATTGGTACAAAGCTGGAGCAAGGCACTTGTTGTTCATGCACTACTATAATGTGTTCAGATAATAATAGAAGTGATAATTGACGATTTATGTATGCAGTAGGTGTACTATATGGTTCTAATGATAACATTTTACTCTCAATCTGTTTGGTCGAGTAAACATAAGACGTGTATGCCGAGGAAGACACCCTGTTTTCGCCAGGATTCTGCCTTTAAAAGCATCATTGATAAAATGCGTCCGGTCTAAACTTAAAAACAAAAGTTATAATTGACTATTTAAAAGTTAATGTTATCAATTGTAGCCGTTTCGCTGGGTTGGTTCGGCTTTTGTTTTTATCCAATGAAATTAGTCATACATAAACAAATTTATAATAGCCTTTTGTCGATTTGATTTGCTTTATGCTTGCCAAATTATTACATTTTGATATTATGGTAGTTGCGAGAATAGAAACTTAAACTGATGTTAAACTGTTCCAGACTTGTATTTTCTTGATGCTCAACGTCACGTTTCAATTGATAGGTGCTATATTCAAGTTTTTTGGGACAATTGAACAGACGACTCTTAGAGAGTTTGCAACCATACATCTAAAAGTGTGAGTCGTGTTATAAGATGTATACGTATTTAATTTACTATTGCGTGTTTGGTTTCTTTCAACATTGTCATATAGCATTCATTTATTCTTAGATGTCGATTAACGCTTAGATTAACAGTTTAAAATGTGTCAAATTCAATTTCAGTATTTAGCTTAATTGTATTGGGGTATATTTTTGTTTGACTTACCGATTTCGGTTTCATTGTCAGATTCTACTTCTGGTTCGGGCATTACTGGAGTTGATAAATCAATATGTTTAATATTCAGTTGTTCCACAATTATAGGACAGGAGCTAATTACGATGACAGACTTAAAAGTCAAATAAAATGAGTTACTAGATGGAGCATATTAAGATGAATAAAAGTAACATAATACTAATAAAAAGTTTTTAAAAACAATGAATAACAAACGGATCATAGATGAGGTTGCGCCAGACGAAATTTGTTTGCGGCTAGATGCAAATAAGACTCTTTTATGCCTCGGTCGTTAGTTGGGCAAAGAAATCGGTATTTGCATTTAAAAATACATACAAAATAGTACTGACACGAATCCAGTTGAGGGCAAGAGAAAGAAGGTAAAATATTAAGTTCATTCAACAACTCACCAGTGGTATCTGTATCGTAGTCTGTCCAAATACATAATGCCTTATTAAAACAGTGAAAGAAATACAAAGCGGTTTTAACAGTGAGAAAGATTTATTTGACTTTATTTCAAGGACGTTATGGATGATTCTAGTGTGAAATAACACTTTGTCTAAGTATCACGAAATATTCTGTTGGTTGGTCTGATTGGTACAGTATTTTCATTCTATAATTTTGATATTTAACGAAATAATACTACCTGTGTCATTACTACTTCCGAATCTTCTGTCAATGTACCTTTATCATTTTCTTGAGCTATTTTTGTTGCTGATTTATATATGTAATTACATAATTCAAACCCTAAGCAAACTTTTTTCAAAAGATATGCAGAAACTCACTCTCAAATGTTGGGTTAGTGGGTGTATCAGGTGATACCACTGCGTGTGACTGTGTTGTGCCTGGTAAAATTATTTATCAAAATACGGTGCTTGATTATAGGTATAAGAGTCTTCGAAGAAGTAGGAAGTGTTTGACAGACTTTTTTTGATAAAATAATCTAGAAGCCAACAAAACAACGATAAGAACAAAATAGAGCAACTCACTTTCAGAAGTTGGGTTAGTGATTATATCAGGTGATACCACTGCATGTGAATCTGTTGTGTCTGGTAAAATTATTTATCTTTTATTTATCGAAATACGGTCCTTGATTTCAGATATAACACAACAAAGGAATAAAAAACAATAAGCGAACGTTTTTAAAAATAGTTTAGATACTCACTTTCCGGAGTCGGATGAGTGGTTGTGTAAGGTGGTATCACAGCATATGACTGTGTTGTGTCTGGTAAAATTGTATATCTTTTATTTATCGAAATACGGTCCTTGATTATGGACATGAGAGTCTTAGAAAAAGTAGTCACAAAGATAATACACGATTAAAAGAAAGTAAACCCTAAGTGTACATTTTTAATATACAAAATAGAGCAACTCACTTTCAGATGTCGGGTTAGTGGTTGTATCAGGCGATACCACTGCCTGTGACTGTGTTGTGTCTGGTAAAATTATTTATTTCTTATTTACCGAAATACGATCCTTGATTTCAAATATTAGAACAAACCGATAAAAAACAACAAGCGAACATTTAAAACAAATAATTATATACTCACTTTCCGGAGTCGGATGAGTGGTTGTGTCAGGGAGTACCATAGCATATGACTGTGTTTTGTCTGGTAAAATTATTTATCGAAATACGGTCCTTGAATATGGACATTAGGGTCTTAGAAAAGCAGTGTTTGCAAGTGAGAAGAAGAACCTAGAAGCCATTAAGATAATACATGAATAATAAAAGTAGATGATAAGCGAACATCTTCAATATTTGTATAAATAGAGAAACTCACTTTCAGCAGTCGGATGAGTGGTTGTGTCAGGTGGTACCACAGCATATGACTGTGTTGTGTCTGGTAAAATTATTTATCTTTTATTTATCGAAATACGGTCGTTAATTATAGGTATAAGAGTCTTCGAAAAACTAGGTAGTTTGCCAGTTTTTTTTTTTCGTAAGGAATATTGCGTATAACAGAGTCTATAAGCCATTGACATAACGATAAAATCAAATTACAGAAACTCACTTTCAGAAGTCGGATTAGTGGTTGTGTTAGGTGATATCACTGCGTGTGACTGTGTTGTGTCTGGTAAAATTATTTATCTTTTATTTATCGAAATACAGTCATTGATTATGGGTACAAGAGTCTGCGAAAAAGTAGGTAGTGTTTGCCAGTTTTTTTTCGTAAGGAATATTGCGTATAACAGAGTCTATAAGCCATTGACATAACGATAAAAAACAAATTACAGAAACTCACTTTCAGAAGTCGGATTAGTGGTTGTGTCAGGTGATACCACTGCATGTGACTGTGCTGTGTCTGGTAAAAATATTTGTCTTATATTTATAGAAATACGGTCCATGATTATGGATGCTCTTCAACGAAATACTGTTTTTGCAAGGCTGTAGTTGCATACGGTAAATTGCGAAAAAAGAGTCTCAAAGCCACTAAGATAGCAAACGATTAAAAAAAGTGAAAAATAAGCGAAACGGAAACTCACTTTCAACAGTTGGGTTAGTGGTTGTATCAGGTGATATCACTGCGTGCGACTGTGTTGTTTCTGGTAAAATTATTTATCGAAATACGGTCTTTGATTATAGGTATAAGAGTCTTCAAAGAAGTTGGTAGCGTTTGCCAGACTTTGTTTACATAAGAGATATTGCAAAAAAGAGTCTAGAAGCCGTGGAGATAAAAAACTAATTAAAAATATTTAAAAATTAAGCGAACTTTAAAAAAAAAATCGAAATTCACTTTCAGCAATCGGGTTAGTTGTTGTGTCAGGTGGTAGCACGTGTGACTGTGTTGTGTCTGGTAAAATTATTTATATTTTATTTATCGAAATACGGCAAAATAAATATTGTAAAAAAAGTGTCTAGAAACAATTAAAATAACAAACTTAAAAAAAAAAGTAGACAACAAGCGAACGTCTTTAATATATGTACAAAATACAGAAACTCACTTTCAGAAGTCGGGTTAGTGGTTGTGTCAGGTAATACCACTGCATGTGACTGTGCTGTGTCTGGTAAAAATATTTATCGAAAAACGGTCATTGATTTCTGATATAAGGCTCTTAGAAAAAGTAGTGTTTGCCTTTGATAAGAAATGCCTAGAAACTAATATATAACACGTTATTAAAAGATAGTAAACCCTAAGTGAACATCTTTAATATATAAAATAGAGCAACTTACTTTCAGAAGCAGGGTTAATGGTTGTGTTAGTTGGTACCACTGTCTGTGACTGTGTTGTGTCTGGTAAAAATATTTATCTTTCTTTATCGAAATACGGTGATTGATAATGGGTCCATACTTTGCAAAAGAAATATTATAAAAGGAGATTCTAGAAATCATTAAAATAACAAACGATTAAAAAAATTGATTCGACAACAAGCAAACGTCTTTAATATAAAAAACAGAGAAACTCACATTCAAAAGTCGGGTTAGCGGTTGTATCAGGTGCATGTGACTGTGTTGTGTCTGGTAAAATTATTTATCTTTTATTTATCGCTGTTATACGGTGCTTGGCTACAAGAGACTTCGAAAAAGTAGGTAGCGTTTGCCAGACTTTGTTTGCCTAAAAATATTGCGGTAAAAATAGTCTAGAAGCTGTTAAGGCAACGATAAAAACAAAATACAGAAACTCACTTTCAGAAGTCGGGTTAGTGGTTGTGTCAGGTGAAACCACTGCATGTGACTGGTCTGTGTCTGGTTAAATTATTTGTCTTTTAGGTATTTATCGAAATACGGTCCTTGATTATAGGACAGACTCTGTTTGTATAGGAAATATTGCAAAAAGAAATAAGAGTAAAGAAGCTATGGCAATAAAAAAAATATTTAAAAAAAGAAAACGATAAGCGGATGTCTTTAAAATAAATTATATAAACTCACTTTCAGATGTTGGGTTAGTGGTTGTGTCAGGCAATACCACTGCGTGTGACTGTGTTGTGTCTGGTAAAGAAGTGCCTATAAGGCATTGAGATAATACATGATTAAAGGAAAGTAAAACCTAACTGAACATCTTTAGTATACAAAATAAAGCAACTCACTTTCAGATGTCGGGTTAGAGGTTGTGTCAGGTAATACCACTGCCTGTGACTGTGCTGTGTCTGGTAAAATTATTTATCGGTTATTTATTGATACACGGTGTTTGATTGTCTGTATCAGGCTCTTTAAAGCAGTAATGTTTTTGCCAGACTTTGGTTGCATACGAAATATTGAGAAAAACAGAGTCTCGAAGCCATTAAGACAAAAAACGACTAAAAAAACGTAAACCCTAAGTGAACGTCTCCAAAATACAAAATAGAAAGTTATTTATCGAAATACGGTCCTGGATCATAGGAACAAGAATCTGCGAAGAAGTAGATAGTGTTTGCCAGACTTTTTTGCATAAAAAATATTGCGAAAAACAGAGTCTAGAAGCCATTCAGATAACAAAAGATTAAACAATTAATTCTTAAAAAGAATGCAGAAACTTACTTTCAAAAGGCGTATTACTGGTTGTATCAAGTGATCCCACTGTATGTGACTGTGCTGTGTCTGGTAAAATTGTTTATCTTTTATTTATCGAAATACGGTCCTTGATTTCAGACAAAAGGCTCTTGGGAAAAGTTGTGTTTGCCGATATAAAAATTGTAAACCCTAAGCGAATGTTTTTTATTTTCAATATACAGAAACTCACTTTCAGAAGTCGGGTTAGTAGTTGTATCTGGCGATACCATTGCGGGTGACTGTGTTGTGTCTGGTAAAATTATTCATCTTTTGCGTATTGAAATAAATATATCGATTAATCGAAGAAGTTTAGTGGTGCTTGCTTGATGTTTAAAAAAAATACAGTGATGAATCATCTTAAATGTTAAATAAGGACTTACTCAGTGAGTGCTGTTTTACTCCACCTGTCAATCGAAACGTTTTAGAATCGTCATTAAAGTCAGCGAAAAATTTTTGGAAACAATTTATTCGGCTTTCCAAAAATTTACTTACGTATCAGGATGCGTTTAGGACGCTGTCCAGGACGCCGACCAGGTCGCTGGCCAGGACGTTGGCCAGGCCGCTGGATA